CCTCTGTTTTAAGTATCCAACCCTTCAGCCTTATCCCATTTGAGAAGTATTCATAGATTACTAGTGGCTTTTATATAACTTCTCTTTGACTTACAGTTTGTGCCACTCAGTGTGTAATATTCAACTAAGTAGTAATACTTTATTGTAAAGTGCTGTTCCTTTTTATATCTTGAGGGTAGGTTGTCTTTCTGATAAGGTCAATCACAGTGTTGGTGCTTGATTGATGATTATTACCATTTGTACATCATTAGTATATTGTATTCCATGTTTAGTATTGGACAGATTTTGGTTGGTATTTTGTCTTTGATTTTTACTAGCAAAGGGTCTGGAGCAGCTTGTTTGATGGAAGAGTCAATGTTTACTCGTTTGTGGAAGAATAAATATAATACAGTGTTATGTATTGCCACAGAACAAGTATTCAGACAATGATAACTGCTCTTAGTTACTGTTATTATTTTCACATTTGTATTACTATTTTTCTCCTAAAGGTAATATTCAGGCTTCCTTATATAATAGCTTCCAGGGCTTACTGCTCTTGCATTGTGATTTTGGCTGAGGTGTATTTATTTTCCTGAAAGCTCCTGAGAGGAGAGAGCTGAGACCTAGAACTGTCTTTGTCTACATTTTGTGTTTCAGTCATGCTTGGCAGTGTGATGTCGAAGTGGACTGTAAAAGTGTAAGAAGCCTCCCATTTCTATACTGTATCCTAAAAATCTACTACAAGAAATAGATTTCTTCTTAGGTGCTGATTTCCTAAGAGGTTTTTGCTGAAACTGGCCAGATTCCTTTTTTCGTTATAATTGAGTTTTTAAACGTGGATAACTCCTTAGACCCACTTACCATCTTTTTTTTAATGAACCTCTTTTCACAGATGCCAAATGGTTTTCTTAGTATACTATGTGTGACATTGTCATTTTTAAACTTGAGAATTTTCTATCCATTTCTTTAGGTTCTAGGCAGTTAACCATGTCTGGAGAATAGCACTGTTTTTTGTTGTTAGATTTTTGCCTTAGGGAAATATGTGCTTGCTGGAGAAAGACAGAGAAAGAAAGTGAGAAATCACTTCTCCCCGCCCCCCATGAGGGATAGCCACTCTGTGATCACTTCTCTATTTTTCTTTCAAGATCAAATTCGTACACATTTGGTGTGATTTTCAAGCCACCAGGTCCAAGACTCAAACCACAGTTGCCTTTGTGGGAGTCCAGCACTTTAACCACTTCACCACTTGCTGGCCCAAGAGTAACACTTTTTTTTTTTTTACTACAGTAGTTTTCAAATTCTTTAATCTCAAGTCTTCTTTATACCCTCGAAGATTATTGACAGTTCTAAATAGCTTCTTTTAGGTGGGTTGTGTCTATTGTATTCACTATATTAGGAATTAAAACTGAGACTATAAAAGAATATTAAATCATTTCAAAATAATAACCTACTACATGTTAATATGTTATATGTTTTAGAAAAATTATTTTTATTTAACTTTACTTATTATTATCATTATTTTTTTAACTTAAGAAACAGAGAGGTGAGGGTGGGAAAATAAGAAAGGAAGCCACCAGATTTGGGACTCAAACCATGGTTAGCCATGTGGGAGCCCAGTGCTCTCATCCACCATGCCACCTGCCGGTCCCAGTATGTTATCTATTTTTATGAAAATAACTATGGTCAGCCCTCCATACCCAATGGTCTAGATTTGTGGGTTCAACCACTGCAGAGTGAAAAAATGTTGTTGCTGAAGTGGACTGGGTAGCGCAGCCTACAATGGTTGTGCCCTGTACTGAATGTGTGCACACTTTTCTTGTCATTCTTTTAACAATACAATAAAGCAGGCAGTAGCAAAGCATTTACATTGTATTAGGTATTATAAGTACTCTAGAGATGATTTAAAGTATATGGAAAGATATAAATTGGTTATATGCAAATACTGTACTATTTTATTTAAGATGCTTGAGCATCTTTGGAATTCAATATGCATGGAGTCATAGAAGCAATCCCTTGCAGATACTGAGGGACTAGTGTATTTTATTAGACGAAGAAATTTAGTATTAAGAATGGCATGTTTGGGGGACCAGCAGATGGCATAATGGTTACGTTGCTTGGCTCCCACATGGTCTACCACAGTTAGAATCCTGGATCCAGAAGCTTAAAACTCATGGTGGACACATTTGCATGTGTACCCATAATCCTGAGAGGAGAATGGAGAAGGAATTACTGCGTGGCCATCTTCTCTGGGGGGGTGATTTCTCTCATTCTGTCTCTCTTTTTCTCTCTGTCTCTCCAACAAGTGCATATGCCCTATAGCAAAAAATCTCTTAAAAAAAAATGTCATTCTTTTGGCCTGGCCCTGGAGGCACTTCGGTAACATAAAGTTCTGCAATGCTAGGGCCATGTGGAAGAACAGGTTTTGGTTGCCCACAATCCTGGCTGGCTGCAAAGGTCTAATGGTTAGATAAAGGGGTGGGATCCCAGTGTCAGATCCTGTTGAAGGCTGTCTGTCTGTCTCTCAAGGAAAAAAATTACTTAGTTTATGTATTTTAAAAAATATAATGTCTGACTTAATAAGGAGCATTCTGTATATTTATAGCTGTTCTATATTCAATCTGTTGATAGGTTCTTTCGATTGAAGTATATAAAGAAAATCTATCCTTGGGAACCAGCAGTTAGTGTAATGGTTATGTCGCTGGACTCCCATGTAGTTGACCGCGGTTCGCGTCCCGGACCCAGTGGCTTAAAACTCACGCCAGGCGCATGTGCGTGCGTGCCCAAGATCCCGAGAGGAGAATGGAGGAGCAGGGATTGCGGCGTGACCATCCCCCCTAGGGGGTGATTTCTCGCTTTCTATCTCTATCTCTCTGTCTGTCTGGCGAGCGCATGCGCCCTATAGCGAAAACCTCTCCAAAAAAAAAAAAACAATCTAGCCTCACATAGATACATAGTTAGAAAAGGGAGGAATATTTTAATAGCCTTTCAGAACATTTTTCATGTTATTTCTTGATACTTTGCCAATATTTAACAATCAATTTCTTAAAGATATATTGTGCTTTGACATCAATGTCAATGAGTTTTCATATTGTTACACTAAAATTCATTTGTCTTTCACTTTGAATGGACATGATTTTGAGTCATATTGAATTCATCATTTGAAAAATATTTCTAAATTTTAGCACATTAATATTTTGGAAAACTAACAAGTTAGTACAATATCAAGAAATCACATTTTTTAATATTACCTTAGAAAAGTCTTAAGTATTAGGACACTGTTCGGCTCACAGTTATGGAAACATATTTTCCAGAATTTTAACTTTCTGTTGTAAACTCTTAATTTTATCATGTTTTCAAGTATTGTTAGTTTTGTTTTTTTGTTTGTTTTTTACCTTTTTTTTTTTTTCTTTGGGAGAGGTTTTTGCTATAGGGCATGTGAGCTCGACAGACAGAGAGAGACAGAAAGCGAGAAATCACCCCCCCAGGGGGGATGGCCACGCTGCAATCCCTTCTCCTCCATTCTCCTCTTGGGATCTTGGGCATGCACACACACGCGCCTGGTGTGAGTTTAAGCCACCGGGTCTGGGACTCGAATGGCAGTCGATTATGTGGGAGTCCAGCGACATAGCCATAACGTTAACTGCTGGTCCCAAGTATTGTTGGTTTTTTATTTGAAAAAGTGGGAGTCTGACTTTGTTTACACTCAAGAAGATGTCTGCCAAATACCCAACTATAGTTCGTTGGTCCTTCTTTCAAGTAACAATGAGAATGTAGTTAACTCATCCTGCAGTCAAGTCACACATGTGCTCTTCTTTGAGATGATCATCACTGTTGTATATCTGTCCTTTAAAAAAGTGTTATGTGTATGAACTTTATACCTTTTCACTCAGATTATGATAAAGGCCTATACTGAAGGGCTGAGATTTAATAAAATTAATACCGTTTTACTTCATCAAGGGCATTCTTAAGTGAAACTGGCCTTTTTTTTTTACTGCTTGAGTGTGGCAATAAAAAACACATTGTGAGCACAGTTAGCTGACTTGATTTGTGCTTGTGCTACAGCAGTTTTATTCCCATTGCTTTTTGGATTATCGTTGCAAATGTCAGCATAGTGAAAAGGCACATACTATCTCTGAAGTATTATGGAGATGGTTTTGACCTGAGAGGCCACCTGACAGGTCTCAGTGACCCCTCAGGGACTCGTAGACTGTTCTTTGGAACCACCGCTTTATTTAGTTAATGAAATCGAGTTGTCATTGCCTAAATGATTCTGATAAGTAGATTCTCAAGTAGAGAGATGAGAAAAGGGTGATGTAAATGATTGGACAAGTCATTCGACCTTCACTCTTTCATAAATATTCTTCTAGAGCTGGCATTAAAAAAGATTTCCACAGCAGGAAGTGGGCACAGCTTTAGTAATTAGCGCCTGAGAATGACCCAGGTGTACTTGTGTTTTAGGTCGCACAGCATTTGGGAAAACAGCAGGAGTGCCTGTCTCTCTACTACTGAATACTAAATAGTTTCTTCTTTTAAAAGTCTAGTCATGCTGCATATAATAAACTAGACACTTGAGAGTATATCTTAAAGTCGCATTTGTTAGAAATATTCTTGATGTTTATATGTTAGAAAAAGGCTGAGTGACAATTCTACATGTTTTATAAAATTATTTCCTCATAGTTTGAAGATCTCTGATGACATTAAGTATGTGGCTCTTGACTTATACTGCTTTGTTAAGTAAAAAAATTAGAGGACCAGCAGATGGCATAGTGGTTATGTTGCTAGACTCCTACATGGCCAACCACTGTGAGTTTTAGGTGTGGGGGCTAGAAACTCAGTCTCGGTGTGTGTGCATGCATGCCTAAGATCATGGGAGGAGAATGGAGGAGATGGGATTGTAGTGTGGCCATCCCCTCTTGGGGGGTGATTTCTCATTTTCCTTCTCACTTTCTCTCTCTCTCTCTTTCTCTCTCTCTCTGGTGAGTGTACACACCCTAAGGCAAAAACCTTAAAAAAATAACTAAGGAAATTAGAATTTTCCTGAAAATGAGTTGGCCACAAGATTTTGTTAAAAGCTTTTTGATTAAAATAGAAATGTGAAAGTGAAGTGTTGGCTAGGTTTGCAAAGTTACAGGGTTAACAGTTACACCACTGGGCAAAATATAATTTTAGTTTTTGTCATTTGTTTACTCTTAATGTGATGACTACTTTATGTAGTTTCTTCTTTGCATCCCTATTTCTTCCAGTTCTGAATGTGAGTTATGTTTTTAGAAGTGTAAATCCAATAAACTGCTTTCTTACCAGTGTTCTTAAAGGCTTTTAAACATCTATTACTGGTTTATATGTGAAAAATCTTTGAGTTGGTTGTAATGTTTAATGGGTACACAGTTTAATAAAAACCTCATTACTAGTATTATTTTTAACTGACAAGTAATAATGGTATATATTTGTGGGGGGTGCGATGTGATGGCACGATACATGTTTATAATGTGGAATGACTAAATCAGGCTAACAAATTAACAAATCTATCACCTCACATACCAGTTTTTGTGGTGAAAACATTTACATTTTATTTTTAGCAATTTGGAAATACTCAATGTATTACTTTTTATTAGTCACATTCTGGTCAGTAGATCACTAACTCATTCCTCCTGTCTAACTGAAACTCTCTACTTATTGATCAGCCTCTCGCTTTCCTGTGCACATTCCCTTTCCCCTGCCTCTGCAACCATCCTTCTACTCTGCTCGTATGAGGTCGACTATGTTTGTATTCCACATATAACTGTGATCATGTGGTATTTATGTTTGTGTGTGACTTAGTTCAGTTACATAATATCCTTCAGGTTCATCCACATTGTTACAAATGATAGAATTTCCCAATTTTTAAAGACTGAATATGAATAGTATTGCTTTACATATATATATATATATATATACACACACCACATTTATCATCCTTCATTGCAATTTATTTAAAGTGAAAACTAAATTATGCAATTATTCTCCCATTTTTTATTTTTCAGGTACATTTTTAGCCTAATTCTTTGTGTGTTTAGTCTTAAATTTTAATACTAGACTATCTTATTTCTGATAATGAACTAATATTTTGACTCCTATATGATAGTTGCCATTTCTAATTTTTCCCCTTGTTTCTTGCTGTTTTACCTTTTCTTTGTTCTTCTCATCCTCTCTTTGTCTTACAGTTACATTTTAGCCTTCAGAAGGATGACCATGTGGTTCTCTCCAGTTAAATCTCTTCTAATGCTTTCTGACCATGTAGGCAATAACATGGGAGCTGCGTGTGATGTTTCTTGAATGGAAAACTGTTACACCACCATGGATTTCAGTGAACTGATTATTATCTTCTTAGAATGAGATGAGAGTATATCACTTGCTCATTAATTTTTTTTTCCTACACTTTGTTTTTAATAGAAATTCTTGATGAAGGAGACAGTGACTCAAATACAGACCAAGATGCTGGAAGTAGTGAAGAGGAGGAGGAAGAGGAGGAGGAAGAAGGAGAAGAAGATGAAGAAGGTAAACATTTAGCTTATTCAAATAGTAAAATACTCTAAAATTAAGTTAATTCTAATGTATTCCTCTAAAACATTGATTTTCTTGGGAGTGGGAGAGCAGGTATTGCAAGGGATCCTGCTAGCATCCAGTAGGTAAAGTTAAGGTTGCTCTCTGGTATATACCAGAGTTTTATCTACCCCCAGTGGCCAGTTTTGTCAAGATTGGGAAGCTGAAAGTATTGTAATAAATAGGAAAAAAAAAATAATTTTTTTTGAGTTGTTTTGCTATGGGGCGCGTGCACTCGCCAGAAAGACAGAGAAATACAGAGTAACAGAAAGCGAGAAATCACCCCCCAGGGAGGCTGGCCATGCCACAATCCTTTCTCCTCTTGGGATCTTGGGCATGCACCCGGCGTGAGTTTAAGCCACCAGGTCCAGGACTCAAACCGTGGTTGACTACATGGGAGTCCAGCGACATAGCCGTTATGCTAACTGCTGGTTCCAGAAATTTATTTTTTAACATCAACATAGTTTTAACTTGGCGTTTTATGCCTTTGCTTATATAACAAACTCTGGAAAATGGTCCATTAATGACTACATGTGATTTACGGAACCCTGGCAAGAACGCGACAGAAGAGATTGATTAGATATTTGCTATTCATTTTGGCAAAATAGAGTGAGGCAGCCAAAAGCTAATATTTATACAGAAGTAGGTATGATGTTCTTCCTCTTTGGTGTGATTACGTTATTTCACAGAAAAATAAGCTCACAACTCTACTTTGTTAAAACTCAGTTAATGCATCAGAATATGCAGAAATTGGTTATTTACATGTATTACATATTTGAAAATGTATCCTTTTAGGATATATATTTTAGTTTTGTCCTATAATGTAATTCTTTTTTTTTTAACTTTGGTCATTATTATTTTAATATTAATATACATATTTATATGGCACCCATCCAGTTAGTCATGATTAGTCATGATGCTCAGTGTTCTCTGAAACTAAATTTCTTTTTTTTTAAAGAATTATTTATTCAATTTTATTCACTTATCATTATTATTATTATTATTATTATTATTTTAATTTGACCAGAGAGAGAGAGGAAAGTGGGAAAGCAAGCCACTAGGTCCAGGACTCGAACCATGGTCAGCCATGTAGGAGTCCAGTGCCTTAACTACTATGCCTTCTGCCAGCTCATGGTGTGAAAATGTTTTTTTTTTTTTTTTAAGAATGGTTTTATTTAACTTTATTTATTTTAATTTGACCAGAGAGGGACAGAGCGAGGGGGCTGGGGGGAGTGGGACAGCAAGCTATCAGGCCCAGTACTCAAACTATGGTTGGCCATGTGAGAGTCCAGCTTCCTTAACCACCATGCAACTTGCCAGCCCCCGAAACTAAATTTCTAACCAAAAGGTTAGTTCTTTGTAATTATTGAGATACTGCTAATAACTCTAGAAAGAATATTTTTACCAAACAGCAAATCTGAGTCTAAAGCAATTCATTAAAGGAAATCTTATAGAGCGATACCTTTCAGCTCTTCATAGTTTTATTGTAATTCTGTGATTTTGTTATGCTTAATTTCTTTCAGGACAGAAAGTAACAATTCATGACAAAACTGAAATTAATCTGGTTTCATTTCGACGTACAATTTATCTTGCTATTCAGTCCAGGTAAGATACTATAGCTCAGTTGATCATTTTTGTTCGTTTTCTTCTTTTTGGATAAGAGGAATAAGGAAGACAGGGATACATTTTAGAATATGATAAGCGAGTACTAGACAGCATTACAACATTCTCAAACTACCTATCTCTCTGATTGCATTTCACATCCAAACTCATCGTAAGTCCCTATTGGTGAGTTCTTTGCTTTCTTCACAAATTGTCTGCTTTTTTTGAATGTCTAATATTGTTGCATAATGTGTTTTAGCTATGTCATTTCTTAGAATTAAGTGTCACTAATAAAAACCTGAAGGGTTTTACAAGCTAATACAGTATTTAATTATATAATAAAAATTTAATTTTCTTTAAAATTTGCTTTCTAATTCTGCTTCTAATCAGAAAAGCACTGTTATGGTGACTTTTGGATACTGGTTTGCTATGCAGATATAAGTGAATGGAAATGGAAATAAAAATTAGATTTAGGAAGGTTTCAAAGACCCTTTACAGTAATGCGAAGTAAGAACTACTGTGATGTCATAAATAGAAAATCTTTTCCCTTTGAAGGCTGTTTGGTTTTGAAGACAAGTAAATTGGAATGTTACACAGAATTAGTGCATCTGTAATTTGTGTGCAAGTCAGTGTATTGATTTAGTGGGCATAGATGTTTACCTTCTACACTGGAGGAGGAATGTTTCCTCAGTTTTGTTTTGTTATTAGGTTTTGTATATTTCCATTTAGTATGATGTAATAGCAGTAATGATTCATAAGTAGGAGTCATCTTGTTTTTAGTCTGTCTGAAAACTTTTTGGCTTTAAATTCATCTTCAAGTAGAGGAATGTTAAATAGCAAAACATGGATTGGAAATTTTTTTGAATTATCCCTACCCACTTTTTTGCCTTGTACATGAAAGAGAAAACTATTAAATTTTTTTTTCATATAAACTTAAAGTAGGGAAGGTAAGAAATTTATTATTACTATTTTTTTATTTTTATTTTTTAAAATATGGGGTGCACATGCTCACCAGAGGCAGGAGGATAGGGTTGTGTGGAGGATGAGAAAGCACTCTTCATGGGGGATAGCCACACTAGTCTCTTCTCCATTTTTTTCCTCAGGATTTTAGGCAAACACACTTACACAGCATGTGGCCAAGTGGCCAAGTCTGGGACTTGAATCATGCTTTTGGCCATATGGAATCCAGCTACCTGAACCACCACTGCACCACTGGCTTGATAAATATCCTTCAGTGGGGTGGACCTTTCATTTGTTCTTTTTAAAGAAATCCAGGAGGACCAGCAGTTGGCTATGTCGCTGGAATCCCATGTAGTTGACTGCAGTTCGAGTCCCGGCCCTGGTGGCTTAAAACTCAAGCCGGGTGTGTTTGCGTGTGTGCCCAAGATCCCGAGAGGAGAATGGAAGAGAAGGAATTATGGCATGGCCATCCTCCCTTGGGGAGGGGAGTGATTTCTTGCTTTTAGTCTCTCTGTTTCTGTCTGTCTGGTGAGCACATGTGCCCTATAGCAAAAACCTCTCCAAAAAAATAAAAGAAAGAAATCAGTAGGTTCACTTTTGTTTTCTCTTTATTTGTCAGAGGGTGTATGCCCTCACCAAAGTGAGTTGTGGGCTAGAAAACACCTCCTGAATGGTAGTGCTGGTAGTCCTTTCATCTCCATCTCTTCCTTTATTTGCGATTTTAGGCATACACACACACACACACACACACACACTTATATCTGGTTTGTTGTCTCAAATGGCTGGGTCTGGGACTTGAACCCATCCAGTTGGCCATATGGGATGCAGCCACCCCAACCACTAGACCAAGGCCTGACCCAGATTCACTGTTTAAATGTTGCTGGTATCACTAACATTGAAGTGTTACAGTAAAGTTCTTTGAATATTTAAAAATAGAGAACAACAATAACAAAAAAAAACTTTTTTGACTGACCTAACCATTATAACCTTTGAATCATACAAAAGACTCAAAAAAATTTAAGTATTTATAAATTAATAGTCACTACTAGATAATGGTACCAGTCCTGGTAGCAATGACTACTATGTTATGTGTTGGTATTTTTTTAAGGGTCTCCAGCCTCTAAATCTCTAGTAAAGAAAAAATGTATACACAACAAAGATGACTATACTTAAAAGCGCATACAAATGTTAGAAACACAAAGACTGGTAGACAGATCAAAGACTTGAATGAGAGATTCCTATAATGAGATTATAAAATACATTATCTGGGACCAGCAAATGGCGTAATGGTTCCATCACTGGACTCCTGTGTAGTTGACTGCAGTTCAAGTCCTAGATCTGGTGGCTTAAAATCACTCCAGGAGTGTGAGTGTGTGCCTAAGATCCCAAGAGGAGATTGGAAGACAAGGGATTGCAGTGTGGCCATGCCCCCAGAGGTTGATTTCTCACTCTCTGTCTCTCTGTCTGTTTCTCCAGCGAGCACACACACACTACTATAGCAAAAATCTCTCTTAAAAAAATACATATATACGTGTGTGTGTGTATATATATATGTATGTTATATGTATATTAAATATTCTAGACAAAGGAGTAAAGAAATACCGTCATTGGTCACTAAAACAACAAACTTTTTTAAAGAAAAGCAGTAAGAACTCAGTGCCAATATTTTTTGTGAGATATACATAAACATAATTGGTGAGAATTTAAATTGGTAAATGGTGAAAAGCCTTTCAGAAACATGAATCAAGTTTACTGTTTGTGTTGTAACGTTCTTTTTCACTATTATCTTTCCTAGAGAAGTCAATGTTGACAAAGAATTATGTGTAGAATTATTTGGTGGAAAAAAAGTGGAGATGATATTACCATCCAACACAAATAATCTAAATGTCCAGTTTATGCTACCATTGAAAATTAGGTTAATGGGGAACCAACAGTTGGCATAATGTCTATGTCGCTGGACTCCCATTTAGGCATCCGCAGTTCACATCCTGTACCTGGTGGCTTAAACTCATGCTGGGCGCGTGTGCGTGCGTGACTAATATCCTGAGAGGAGAATGGAGGAGAAGGGATTGCAGCATGGCCATTCCCCCGGGGGGTGATTTCTTGCTTTCTGTCTCTCTGTCTCTTTCTGTCTTTCTGGTGAGCGAAAAACCTTAAAAAAAAAAAAAATAAGTTAATGGAAAATTGTTCATGTGGGCAAATGATTTGTTATGATTGGTGAGGAAAAGCATAGGCTACATAGAACTATGCTTGTTGTATTAATCTTAACTATAAAACTAGGCATGCAGATTCTTAGAAAAACTTACTAATATGTCAACAGTGGTTACTTGAATTACAAATTTTTAAGTGTGTTTTCTCTGGTTTTTGTATTTCCAAATCTCTTTATAGCATACCAGTCTAGAAATAAAGAATAGAATAGAGCCATAGAGTCAGATGGCAATGAAGGGCATTTTATACATATAGTTCGCTTTTGAAAATCTGTGAAGAAAAGCCTGCATCTGGACTATGTGAGGATTTCAGCTTTTATTGACTAATCTCACTAGTACTCCTATCTTCCTACTGTTACAGCTCCTTTAAATTACCCTCTTTTAGATTGTGGCATGGCCATCCCCCCTGGGGGTTGATTTCTCATTTTCTGTCTCTCTGGTGAGTGCACGCACCCTATAACAAAAACCTCCCTCAGATACATAAATAAATAAATGAAGATGTAAAAAAAATTACCCTTTTTAAGTTTTATTACAAAAGTTTTATTACAAAACTTAAAATACCAAAATTGTCTTTGCTACTGAAAATAATGCGTTCTTTTTGTTCTTTCTTTTAAGTAATGTTCTAATTTGATTTTACATTATTGAAGCTGTAGCATCAGAGGGAGATAGACTACTGTGTATCCTAAATTGGATATATCTGCAAAATAGTTTGTAGATACAACCTGAGCACTGGCATCATGTAAAGAAAATAGTAATTGAGTAAATGTCTTCTTTTTTATATTTACCCTTCAATCATTATTGATGTGTTAAACCTGGAATTAATTTAGTTTAGCAACCCAAAAATTATGATGTCAAGTACATTTAGTATTTATAATTAGTGGAACTCTGAAACAACCTTAATATAGGGAGAAATTACCTTTAAAATGAAATAAGAACAAGGAAATTAGACAGTTATATGGCTTTCTTCCTGATAGTTCACTTACTAAATTAAAGTAGTATATTTTTTCAATCAGCTATTTGACTTGTTTTTCAGAATTTTAGGATATTTTTGCTAAGTATGAGTTTCATTAGAAAAAAATGGGAAAAATGAAGTCATACTTTTAAAAAATACTTTTTGGTGTTATTTAAGTTTGTTGACTACAGTTAATATTTTAATCTTATTGCTAGATATTGTTCAATATTGTTATAAAATCTCTTTTCTGGTTGTTATATTTTATATCTTAAATTTCTTTTTATTTCATTGTCTTATATTGTCTTTGATGAAACTCAGTAATAGAAGCTGAGAAATACAAGCTAACCATAACTGAACTCATAACTTATTATACTTTAGTGGGTAATGATTTTATACTGCAGTTACCAAAAGAACAAAAGTCTGAACATCCTACAAAAGTTGGAAATATATTAGCATTATTTCCAAATCAACTTACATTGAATTTGCTAATTTTCTTAGGTGAAGTATATTGAAGATCTTTTAAATTCAACTCTTGTGAATGCTATAGAAACATATTTTTTCCTTGTAAGTTATTTTGGTTGCTATTTTTATACTTAGCTTTTATAAAATGTGGAAACCCTGTGTGGGGGTATGAGTCAATAAAACTTGTAAAGTGGTGATTAAGCACTAGATATCATGCTGAGCTCCTGAAGCATCTTTCACCTCTTCCTTACTTGGATCAGGGAGAAATGGAAATTTTTAGCAGTATAGAAAAATGTAAGAAGTTTTCACTATCTAGTAAAAGTAGCTACAGTTACAGCATGGTTCTTCTATATCCTTTCTTTTTTTCCTCTTTTTTTTTTTTAAGTGAAATTTTGCTATAGAGTGCGTGCACTTGCTGGAGAGACAGAAGCGAGAAATCAGCTCCTGGGGAATAGCTACACTGCAATAATCCTTTATTCTTCTATGCTGCGATTTTACAGTAGGCATGAGAAACTTGACCTTCATTTGCTCCTGTTTTAATTAGGACTTTTTCTGTTTTCTCCAAACAAATAATATATACTTAGAACTTACTTTTAAAATTAAATGTTAATGATACCCTTTTTTTTTTATGAAAATAACTGGATGAGAAAGCGTAAGTATTCCTATGTTTCAAGTACTACTTCAAAGACTGTTGTCAGAAGCAAGTCTCATACACACTTCTGAGTCCTGTTTTTCTCATCTATAAAAATGAGCAGGTTAAGTCATAATGTCTCTCAGTCTTTCTGAAATAGAACTGTATGAACGTAAATTGGGGTAGTACACTGTAGGTGTTTTTACTTCCAGTTTTTATTACTATATAATTTAGGTGTGCACTGGTAACTAGTAGATAAAAATACATTTTAAAAGATTCTAGCTACTGGAACCGGCAGATTGCATAATGGTTACATCACTGGACTCCCATAAGGCTAAGTAGGTTTGAATCATGGACCCGGCGGCTCCAGACTCATGCTGGGTACGTGTGCATGAATGCCCAAAATCCCAACAGGAGAATGGAGGAGAAGGGATTGCGGTGTGGTTTCTCTCTTTCTCTCTCTCTCCCCCCAGCAAGTATATGCGCCTTAGTAGCAAAAATCTCTCTTAAAAAAAAAAAAAGAGAGAGAGACATGCTACTTAGGAATATTTAACCTCATAAAGTTTTTTTTTTATTTTGTCTTTGTCTCTATTGTTAAGCATCCTACTTGTCATTTTATCTAAGTTTTTAGCATAGTTTTGATCTTTCTCTTTCTTAGATTTATTTAATGGATAAATGTAGAACAAAGCAGCTGGCTCTTAGGAAAACCTTGGGTGTTGGAGAGCACTCTTTGACATCTGGGATATGGTTTCCAGATTTACAGATCTTAGATTTGTCCTGTGATATTGGATTCTCTAATCTGAATAGTTAACTCTATGTGGAGATGCTATTCTCCAGTGTTTGAAAGAAAAGATACTGATGACACATAAGAATCCACTACCATCGTAGTTCAGATACAATTTAGATCTAAAGAACATTTGATAGGCACAGCATGATTGCAGAAATGAGAGACATGCATACATTATGGATTTCTTTGTTGTTGTTTTTTTAAAAAACCTTAAAAATGAAGAAAATAATGTAAAATGCAAGCCCTTTTATCTGACTGGTGATGGCTTGAGGTTGGTTGTTTGGGGAGCATAAAAAGTTATGTACATATATCTCTCTCTTTTTTTTAACCTTTATAAAGTTGAAATTTTATTTACGTGTATAAAGTTCACCCTTTTAAAGCATACAGTTAATTGATTTTAGTACAACCATTGCTGCTAATTTCAAAACATTTTCATCATTCCAAAACTTAACCCTGTACCTACTAGCAGTCATTGCATTCCCTTAACCTACTCTCTGTGGTTATACATTGGCCTTTTCTGGACATTTTATATAAATGGAATTTTATCTTCTGTGACCTTCTGTATCTTTCGTCTTTGACATAACATAATTAAAGATTTATCCACGCTGTAGTAGGTATTCTATTTAATTCTTTGTGGAATTAAAAGCTGTTTTCTTTATATACACATTACAGTGATATGAAATTATGTATAAAAAATTATTTAAAAATAGGGCTCAACCTCAGTGCCATATACTGCTAAGAGCTTCTCAGATGCTGTGCTGCACAGACTGGACTACAATTATTGAAGTAAGATTCTTATGTATAGAAAGATACTACAGTTAGTGCTGCAAGCTTTTAACCTTTTGTGACCATCTTTCCTCCACAGTTTAGATTTCGAAGAATGTGCTCACAAATTGCTGAAAATGGAGTTTCCTGAAAGTCAAACAGTATGTTAATACTTTTTTTCTATTAAGAAATGTAAATACTTGTTATAAAAACATTTAAGACAATTGATAGTTAGATTTCTTAAATTAAAATAATAACTTAGTGCAGAATATTTATGTTTAAAATATAGTAAAGTTTTATAGTATCTCAAAGCTTGGGAGGCCTGGGGTGGTTCATATATGCTAAACACTACAGTGCTTTAAGTTGTACACTGGAATGGGACTTGGGCAAAAGAGCGATTCTCTGAAGTACTGCACTTCATGTAAAATTCCTGAGTGGTTGTCTATAGATCATATCATGACTTAAATATAGTAGGATATCTGTTCTTTAATGAATTACCCAGTCTATCTTCTTTATGCACTAAAGCATTCTTTCATGACAGAAATGATAAACATCTCAGTATATATTGCTACATTGTTGTAGTTGGATATAAAAGAATCTGAATTACTTTTTCATTAATTAATTTATTTTGTAAAACTGTTACTTCTCACATATCACATGTCAAAGTGTTAGGGGTTCAGCCATCTCTAAGTACACATGGCCCTTGGAGCCTCATGGACTTTTGGTCCTATAACTCAGTATACTCAGTATACTTCACAGTATTGAAAGTATCAGAATCTTAATGCCAAGGATAGTAGACACCAGATTGAATAGCTTATCTGGTTGGGTTCTTTTTTTCCAGTCTTTCTTTTTTTTTTAAGATTTTTGCTATAGGGCACTTGCAGGCGAGATAGAGAAAAAGTAAGAAATCACCCCTTGGGGGAATGGCCACACTGCAACCCCTTTTCCATTCTCCTTTCAAGATTCTAGTGAGTTTCAAGCCACCAGGTTCAAGACTCAACTGCAGAGACCAGCAGTTAGCGTAATGGCTATGTCGCTGCACTCCCATGTAGTCGACCACAGTTCGCCTCCTAGACCTGGTAGCTTAACACTCACGCCGGACACATGTGCGTGCATGCCCAAGATCCCGAGAGGAGAATGGAGGAGAAGGGATTGCGGCGTGGCCATCCCCGCTGGGGGGGGGGTTTTCGCTTTCCATTCTCTCTGTCTGTCTGTCTGTCTGTCTGGCGAGCGCATGCGCCCTATAGCAAAAAATAAACCTCTCAAAAAAAAAAAAGAGACTCAACTGCAGTCTACCATTTGAGAGTCCAGCACCTTAACCACTCTGCCACCTGCTGGCCCATCATTGGTTTTTTTTTTCCCCCTAGTTGTTTTCTTGTGTATATTATTCTCTGTCCTAGATTACTATTACTGTTATTATTAATGTTTGTTTTAAGGTGCATGTGCTCACCAGAGGGAAACAGAGAAAAATAGAAAGTGAGAAATCACCCTCCAGGGGGTGGCTGCATGGCTATCCTTTCTCTAGTCTTCTCTGGGGATTTTGGGCACACACACACATATGCCCAAAATAATTTTCAAGCCACCTGGTCTGAACTTAGAACTGCATAATCAGCCATGTGGGATCCAGCCCCTTAACTTCCACACTACCTGCTGACTCTGTCCATCTAGATTTTATTTTCTTGGCCAAGTTTTTGTGTTTTTTTTTTTTTTTTTTTACCTTTTTTTTTTAATTGCCAGAGGGTGTGTACACTCCCCTGAGAAAGAGACAGAGAAAAGCATCACCTAGCCTGGTGTGGTCGCACCACGATCTTTTTTTCCCCCATTCCTCCTTCCTTTCAGAATTTTGTATTATTTAAGACAGTTGATAGTTAGGTTTCATAAATTAAAACAATAACTTAGTGCAGAATATTCGTGTTTAAAATGTAGTAAAGTTTTTTTTTTTTTTGGAGAGGTTTTTGCTATAGGGCGTGTGCGCTCTCCAGACAGAGAGAGACAGAGAGACAGAAAGCGAGAAATCACCCCCCAGGGGGGATGGCCACGCCGCAATCCCTTCTCCTCCATTCTCCTCTTGGGATCTTGGGCACACACGCACACATGCCCGGCGTGAGTTTAAGCCACCGGGTCCGAGACTCGAACCGCGGTCGACTACGTGGGAGTCCAGTGACATAGCCATTACGCTAACTGCTGGTCCCAAAATGTAGTAAAGTTTTATATTAACTCAAAGCTTGTGAGGCCTGGGGTGGTTCATATATGCTATACACTATGTACACATGCATATGTACCAAGCATATTTCCTAAGCATCTAAGGCCAGATATAAACCTTGGTCAGCCATGTGGTATCTGGTTCCTTTAACCTCTGCATTATGGGCCTGGCCTTGTTTATTGCAACTTTACATGTGGTAGATCTGATGCCAATTCACAAGTAAATATACCAGCTCTAATAGGCTGTTCAGTTTCTAGTCCTTCTATGCCCTCTTGATTATCTGAGCTAAGTTGCTATTTGTTGTACATTCTTTGTCTTAAGGCTTTAAATGTTATTTGTTACAAAGGTGTTGACATACTGTGTCCCCAACTCACTCTCTGTTTTTATAAATTTTTATGTTTTGATTTAGAAGATTTTTGCTATAGGATGCATATGCTCCCTGGAGAGAAAGAAAGAGAAAAATTACCCCCAAGAAGGGATGGTCATGTCACAATTCCTTCCCCATTCTCCTTCTGGGATTTTGGGCATGCACGCACATGTGTCCAGTGTGTTTTAAGCTGCCAGATCTGGGACTCAAACTGCTATTGAGTTGTGGGAGTCCCGCGACCTAACCATTATGCCATCTGCTGGTCCCGTAAATAAAATTTTATGAGATACACCCATGCTCATTCATCAAAGTATAGATGGTCCCCAACTTATGACAGTTTGACTTAGAAGGTTTTGACTTTATAATTGTGATATAATCCATTGTTAACTAGAGGAGCATCTGAATTTAAGATGATTTAATATAAGATTTTTTTTTGACTTTACAGTGAGTTTATTGGGCATTAAATGCAATTTCAACTTATGATGTTTTTTATTTTTAATGAATTTATCTGGACATAATCCCAGTATAAGTCCAGGAGCATCTGCATTGTCTGTGGCTGTTTTCATATTGCAACAGCAGAACAAGTAGTCTAACAGAGACCTTGTAGACACTAAAGCCTGAATATTTACTGTCTGTCCCTTTGCAGAAAAAGTTTGCCAGCCTTTGTTCTAGAATATAGATTCATTCTTGAAGTGTAATGTCATGATTTGAGAGAAAAAAATTGTTATTTTTAAATTAAAATAAATTTTCTACCTCTTTAAGTTTATTCATTAGTGTATCAAAATAATAGTGAACCTCTTTGTACACTGTTTGCTCTGGATATGTTGTCATTAGGAGACAAATTGGTAAATTAACCTTTTATAACTGACATTGAAATTACTGGATGATCTTGTCACATTATTTGAGGACTATAAGTCATTATTAATTTTATTAATATTAATCTAGAATATAATTGTTCTAGAACTAGCCTCAACATATTTTGGTAATATTTGGATGAGTATCTTAGTGCATCTGCTTTCATGTATTCAGAAACTCAAAATCACTTTAAAATTTAATTAAAATGTTAAAATATTTAATTATTATAAGCCACAGGGAGTAACTTATAATTTGCAGTTAGTCTAGGGGAGAAAATAATTTGTTTTGCAAGTCTGCTGACTGTATTAGCAAAGTTATCGACCTATTACCATGTTTTATTGTTTAAAACCTGATTAACTGCTATATTATAAACACAATGTTGGTAGAAAAAAACTGAAAATAAATTTTAATGTATCAAGGTAACCTAATATGGCAAAATGTAGAAAAGTATTTGGAGTATTCTATACTATAAAATTTTAATGAAGTACTTCTTTTCAGTATGTATGTATTCATAAACATTTTATTTAATAGAAGTAACTTGTGATTAATTCTTAAGTAAAAGTCTATACTGTAATACCATCTCAATTACTCTGATGCTGTTAAGTGAGGCCTCTGAGTTGATGGTTCCATATGAAGGTTAGCAGACTAGAGCAGCACTATCCAATAAATAGTTATAAACTGTACCGTTTTGTACAGTGGCTACTCTATACATGTGGCTTAGTATTGAAATATGACAATTGAGAGTAAGGAACTAAAATTTTCACTTCTTGCACTTTTAAGCAATTTAAATAGCCGCATGTAGCCAGTGCCTACCTTATTGGTCAACACAATTCTAGTGTTTACACTGGGCTTCTTGGGGGCCCTTTTATAATCCTTGTTCTGAGGCCTCCTCCTGGAGTCTCTGATACAAATCCTTTACACAGATCTGTGTAGTAAATACTTACTGACCTAACTTCTAAAATATTTACATTTTTTTCTAAGATTTTGTTGTGTTATTAATTATGACAACTGTTCATTGAAATTATGAAGTTAAAACTTGGGACCAGCAGTTAGCATAATGGCTATGTTGCTGGACTCCCATGTAGTCAATTGTGGTTCGATTCTCGGACCCGGTGGCTTAAACTCACACTGGGCACGTGTGCGTGCATGCCCAGGATCCTGAGAGGCGAATGGAGGAGAAGGGATTACTGCGTGGCATCCCCCCAGGGGGTGATTTCTTGCTTTCTCTGTCTCTGTCACTCTCTGTCTTTCTGGCAAGCGCACATGCTCTAGAGCAAAAACCTCTTAAAAAAAAAAACTTAACTGTAAAGGTATATATTTTATTTTATAAACTTGTTTTCTGTTTATGGAAAATAAATATATTATAGTTATTACATTTATAAAAATTATTTTAAACTTTCTGATTAATGTGTTACAGAAAAAGGTATTTAGTTAATTCTACAGTAGTGGTCAGAGAATGTATTTTTTTATTGCTTTGTGTCCATTTATTTTATGTCACTTCATCTGAGATTGTTCATCTATGAGATTGCTATAATTATTACATATTTTATTAGGACTTTTCAAGAATTAATAATTAATCAAAAAATTCAAGTATAAATCATTTGTGGTTATGGTATTTATTTTCACAGAGAGGTTTTCTAAGCACTTAAGTAGTTGTTTGAGCAATATATTATTGTGTAAGTTATGAATTTGAACCAATGAGTTGTCAGGAAATTCATGAGATATTTTTTTCTGTTTTTCTTTGCAAAAAATTTGTCATGACTTTTCCAACAACCCAATATTTGTAATGATATTTCCTTAGAAAGGGCCATAAGCATAACATTTATTTTGAGGATATTCTGCTTAGCTGCAGAAGTGTGGGGATATTTTGTTATTTTAAGTACATTTGCCGTTTATTAACCAGGAGGTCATTAACATTAAAGCTGTACCCATTTATGCTCCTGTGAAAAATACATGCCTTGGGAACCAGCAGTTAGTGTAATGGCTATGTCACTGGACTCCCACGTAGTCGACCGCGGTTTGAGTTCCAGACCCGGTGGCTCAAAACTCATGCCAGGTGTGTGTGCGTGCATGCTCAAGATCCCGAGAGAAGAATGGAGGAGAGGGGATTGCGGCGTGACCATCTCCCCTGGGGGGTGATTTCTCGCTTTCTGTCTCTATGTCTCTCTCTGTCTATCTGGCGAGCGCATGCGCCCTATAGCGAAAATCTCTCCAAAAAAAAAAAAAAAAATACAGGCCTTAACAGTGAAGCTTATATCTTTAGAATGTGTATAACTGATTCGAAGATGTTATGTTAATGAGTCTTAAAAAGAATTCTGCATATAATCCTTCAGAGAATCTTCCCCATATGTATTGGTTTCATATAGTAGGGGTTTTTTGGGAAATGTTCCATACTTACATGAATTTAGAATTTTATAATTAACATAATTAGCATAAATGACTATGGAAACTGTCAGCCAGACTAAAGGCTTTAAAAAACTATGAGCTTAATATATTGGGTTGTCGGAAAAGTCATGACACATTTTTACATAGAAAAGCATAAAAATATATCATGACTTTTTCGATGACCCAACTGATTGAGGATTTTGTCATAACAACTAAAAAGTTTTGGAATTTTTTTTAGAGGTTTTTTGTTTTATTTTGTTTTTGATTCAGGGCTCATGTGCTAGAGACAGACAGTAAGTGGGAAAGTGAGAAATCATCCCCTCCAGGGGGGGATGGCTGTGCTGTAATTCCTTCTTCACCATTCTCTTCCTGGGATCTTGGGCACACATACACGCCCAGTGTGTTTCAACCCACGCAGCCCAGGACTCGAACCACAGTCGGCCCTGTGGGAATCCAGCAACATAACCACTGCACCATCTGCTGGCTCATTTTTGAAGTTTATTATTTTTTTACTTTTTATTTATTTATTTTTTTAAGAGAGATTTTTGCTATAGGACACATGTGCTTGCTGGAGAGACAGACAGAAAGCAGGAATCTCCCTCCCATCCCCGGGGGCATGGCCACACCACAGTCCCTTCTCCTCCATTCTCTGTTGGAATTTTGGGCATGCAAGCACATGGCCCAAAGTGAGTTTTAAACCACAGGTTCTGGGACTTGAACTGCTGTTGACTACGTGTGAATCCAGTGACATAAGCATTATGCCATCTGCTGGTCCCCAGTTTTTGAAGTTTTTGAAACCTTATTTAAAAAGTAGGCGATGGCAATCATATTGGTAAATTTTTTCTTTTTTTTAGAGAGATACTTGCTATAGGGTGTGTCCACTCACCAGGGACACAGAAAGAGACAGGGACAGAAAGCGGTAAATAACTCTTCCCTGCTTCCCCCAGGGGGAATGGCTACATTGCATCCCTTCTCCATTCTCCTCCTGGGATCTTGGGCTCAGACTCACACACACCCAGCATGATTTTCAAGTCACTGGGTATAGTTAGTTACATGGGAGTCCAGCGATTTAACCATTATGCCATCTACTGAGCCTCATATTGGTAAAAAAAAAAAAAAAAAAAAAAAAAAACCAATATTTGTACATATTTATGGGGTACAATATGAGTGTTCAGTACAAGAATATGGTGAGGGACCAGCAGGTGTTATTGTGGTTGGGGGGCTGAACTCCCACATGGCTGACCACAGTTCTAGTCCCAGACCTGTCAGCTTGCTTCTTCACCTCCTCTCAGATCTGATGACTGTAGCAAGTTAAGTACTAAAAATTAATAAAATAGGAAATTTTAAAAAATGAAGACAGTGATTAAACCAAGGTAATTATTGTATCTATCATCTTAACCATTTGTCATTACTTTGTGTTAGAAACATTCAAAATTGTCAATTTAATTTATTCTGAGACATTACAGTAAATAGTTATTGACTATATCTACCCTATTATACTTTATAACACTAGAAATTTTTCCTCTTGTCTATAACTTTATTTCTATTAGCAAACATTTTCCCTCCTCCCTCTATCATTCCCAGGCACTAGTACTCATTCTTCACCTCTCTATACTTTAATGACGTCATCCTTTTCAGTTTTCACATATGAATGAGAACGTATCATATTTCTCTTTCTGGCTTACTTAACATGTCCTCTGTGTTTGCCTGTGTTACCTCAGATGATAGGATTCATTCTTTTTAATAGCTAAATTGTACCACCCATTGTGCGTTTTGAATCATTATTGTTGTTTCTTTTCCATATAGAAAGAACTCTGTAACATGATACTTGATTGCTGTGCCCAACAAAGGACATATGAAAAATTTTTTGGCTTATTAGCTGGGGTGAGTTCCAGACCTGTTTTTCATGTTGGAATGTAATAGGTGTACTAGGCAGTTCTTAAGATGGATTTTGTCAATTAATGATTCTCCTTCGTGGTCTAGTCTAATCTAACAATGTATCCTTGCTAAAAGAAGATTTTTCTTCCCTACTGTAGGTTGCTCACTCTCTTTGATTCCATCTTTCCCACTTAATTTCTGCAGTACCTTAATTTTGCAAGTCACTTCTCTAGAACTTGGAGAAATTCTGTATGCTTTGTAACAATTTCCCAGTGGAGGATAATTAAATGTGATCTGTTGAGAATCTCATAGCATTTACTAAAGTCAAGTACATGTTCAGGCAGAATAAGTAAAGCATGAACTAAAACATTTTTTAAATCCAAATTCTACCACAGACTATATATGTATGTTTATATTATACAAAGGTTTGTGTGCAATCAGCTCATGTATAATTATCTTTCTGCATGTAAATTCTTGGTAGCTAGAAACCATATACATTAACTTCTTTTTCAGCATCATATAGCACAAAAAGATTTAGCGATGTGGTGTTATGTTCTTTAAAGATATGTAAAACACTAACTTTGATTTAATAAAGTTAGGATTTAATATGCTTATAATTGTAATGACATTCAATTTATAATGGTATTGACATTCAGTTTTTTATTTATTAGCGATTTTGCATGCTAAAAAAAGAATATATGGAATCCTTTGAAAGTATATTCAAGGAACAGTATGATACCATTCATCGCTTGGAAACAAACAAATTGAGAAATGTTGCTAAGATGTTTGCTCACCTCTTATACACTGATTCACTTCCATGGAGTGTAAGTACATGACTCAACATTTATACTTTTTTCCTAATCCCCTGTTATTCTTAAATAGGTATTAAATACACTTATCCTTTCAGGAAATATACTTTGAAATATGTAGTAGACTTTAACTACTTGTGAAGATTATATTCATCTAACATTGGATCTGAAGGCTAAGTGAATGGGCCCACTTGTGTTAGTATGTGGTGGTAGTCATTACTACTTGGCAGGCCACGTGGGAGACCTAAGCTTAATTCCTGGCCCACTCTCAAACTTGAGTGTAGTGGCACACACTTGTCGTCCCATGCTCTTGAGAGGCTAAGGCAAGAGGATCACAAAATACTGAGACCCTGTCCTTTTTTAAGGAAAAAAAAGAGGGAAGGAAAGAAGGAACAAAAGACAGGAAAGGAAGGGAGGGGGCAAAGGTTAAGTATACCATGTCTGAGAGTAAGAAATACAGTCCTATATTATTCATTTATTTATTTATTTATTTATTTTTGGAGAGGCTTTTTGCTATAGGGCTTGTGTGCTCGCCACACAGAGACAGAGACAGAAAGCTAGAAATCACCCCCTGGGGGGGATGACCATGCTGCAATCCCTTCTCCTCCATTCTCCTCTCAGAATCTTGAGCATGAACTCACATGTGCCCAACAGGGGTTTTAAGCCACCAGGTCCAGGACTTGAACCATGATCGACTACATGGGAATCCAGCAATATAGCCATTACGCTAACTGCTAGTCCCCCATCCTATATTATATTAACAGTCCAAATATCACAGTGCTTTTTCGAAGTGATGGCTAGAAGCGTTTAACAGGAGAATTTTCATCTTCTCTGTTTAAAACATATGTCTGCATATGCAACTGTTTTATTGGCATATGTGTCTCTGAATTACTTGAGTACATTACTCAAGAAAGAAAATAAAATCTATTTCTGTAGCATCTTAGTGTTTTGTAAATCAGTATAGAGAAATAGTCTTAAACTTTGCCAAGAAATAATACATGTCAACATAAGAGAAGATATTTAGAGATAATTCTAAGCAAAGATGAGAATATATCATAATTTTAAGAAATATTTAAACCTATAAATAATTGGTTACTTTGTCCTGCCTTTTGAAAAACCAAAGTAAAATTATCTTTTTTATTTTAATTTTTAGGTTCTTGAATGTATAAAACTGAGTGAAGAAACAACTACATCATCTAGTAGAATTTTTGTCAAAATATTTTTCCAGGAGCTCTGTGAATACATGGGTCTTCCTAAACTTAATGCAAGATTAAAGGATGAGTAAGTTTATCTTTAAGCAGTTTTTATGCTTATTGTTCGCAGGAGTTATTTTCTCACTTTAGTAGGATTTCACAATCTAAAAACAAGAATTAAGCCCCCTAGGGCTTCTTTATTGCTTAGTCACTACTGCAAATTTTGTTACGTTGCATTGGACAGTATGCAACTTTTTTATTATTATTATTACTATTTTTTAGAGATTTTTGCTATAGGGCATGTGCGATTGCTGGAAAGACAGAGAAAAAGCGAGAAATCACCCCCCACACAACAATCCCTTCTCCTCCCTTCTTCTCTTAGGATCTTGGTTGGCCATGCACACTCACGTGCCGCATGAGGTTTAAGCCACCAGGTCCAGGCTTGAACTGCAGTCGACTATGTGGGAGACCAGCAACATAGCCATTATACCATCTGCTGGTTTCCAATATGCAATTTTTAATAGTAGTTTGTAGTTCAGGTGGAGAGGATGCAGAACAAATGCTGCTTTTAGTTAAAACATGCAAAATTATTTTCCATGCTCACTGGAATTCTCTGATGAGTATTTATAGTATTTTTAACCCTAATTTTGAACCTTAGATTGATAAGTAATATATTATTATCCTTGGAACATTTTGAGTATAGAGAGAGAAATATCAGTCATAACTGTTCAGGTTATTGCATGGAACTAGCATCTTGTCCAGAACTGTTGTATAATCCCCCTTTCAACTTCTCTCCTGTTTATTCATGTTGCTTGTTACCACTTAGATTGATTTTTGCTCCATTCACACTACTGAAACCATCCTTTCACATTTCTCTTGGGCCAAATCCAGTAGTCTATGTCAGTCCTCTGGCACTTCACTACTTCACCTCGATTAACGCTGTTGACCACTTGTTGCCCGTGGCTCCCTACTTTGTTTTCATTCTTCTCTGAGGTCCCTGGTCTCCTTTTTGGCCTGTCTTCACTAAGGATCTATCCTGTGTTCTGCATGCTGTCTCTGAGCTATTCTGTACTCTTCTCTTGGGTTCGTATACTTAGCTATTTGGTTAATGTCTACTCCAGCAGGCTGATCTATTCTTCTTGAGCAAACTGCCCTCTAGCCACACCCATGTTGCCTAGCTTCTTATTTTTTATTTATTTAGTTATTTTCATTTATTTTACATAACTTTCACTGGATATCACCACAGCATACTGTCTGTGGATGAAGAGGAGTTATTCTTTTCTCTAAAAGGTGAGGTATTTTCTTGGTTTCACATATTTCTTGTGACCCTGTGGTGATTTCTAGTCATCTGATGGGTTATCCGTTTTTTTCTAAATTCTAGAAGATCAATCAGAGCGTTCAGAGGTGCACAGGAGGGTGTGATCTGCAAACTCTTTGGCATCGCATTTTTCTCCCTTTGTGACACAGATTTAGTGAGAGTTGAGGAATAGAAGGATCCAAATAGTATTCAGATTTGGCAACTTTTCATTTAGATTTGTCTAGGCACTCAGTAGGTGGAAGCTGAGCAGCAAAGTGGTGAGGTAAAAGAAAAAGGATAAGAAAACAGAAAGAGAAAGAAAAAAAGAAAAATGGATAAAGCAAACAAAAATTATTTATTTGTTAATTATTAAAAGCAAAAATGAAAACTGCAGTGAGCTTGCATTCCCTGTGAAATCACTAGATCTCAGCTTTCATGGCAGACTCAGTCTTCTTCTGCCCTGCCTTTTTTTGCCTAGAGGGAAGGGAGAGAGGGGTGGGGGTTATTACAGAGCCATAAAAAATCTTTACCTTAAAAATATTTTAAAAAGAGAAAAACTAGGAAAAAAGTTAAAAGTCAGAAGCAGAAAGGCAGAAAAAGACAGAGAGAGACAGAGAAAAGGAGACAGGGGCTCTACCAGGATAGATTCTCAGCAGAACATCTTCATTGCTCTTATCTCTGAAATCACTAGCTCTCGGCTCTCATGGCGGACTCAGTCTTCTTCTGGCCTGCCTTTTTTTGCCAGAGTAGATTCTCCACCTAGCTTGTTAAATGCACCTGGCTCTTTAATGCTTCCTTATGTCTGGTTCCCTGTTGGCTCCTCTCCTTTCTTAATTTGTCTAGAAAACTCATTCTTCTGTATTTTACCTTTTTCTGTGAAACTGTTACCCCTGATTCCACTGGGTGATCACTCAGTGTGGCACTCAAAACCACATGTCCCAAAGCACATCGTATGAATAATATTTTTCTCTCTGTCTTCCTCCATAGATAGTAATTTTATGCAGTCTTTAACTTGATTTCCCCCTTTCCCAGTGTTTTGGGCAGTGCCATGTGTGTGTGTGCCTATGTGCATGTACATATAAAGGAACATTCATATCAGAGAAGGTTTTGAAATAATCTGTACATACATTCACACTATATATTAGGTCATCAGGAAAATCATGCCTTATTTTTCTGCGTTTTCCTATGCAAACATACTCCAAGACTATTCTGATGACCCAGTATATATGTGTATATACATTTATTGTCTGGTGTATTTTGATGTGTTTATTAAAAAAAAGTCTTTAAAAATCTTCATCTGTTCATAATTTATAGAATCAGGTTTAGTAAGTAAAACTTAATGTTATAGATTCCATTTAGATAGCATGTGAGCCTAATCTAATAAATGACATAAAACATTTACTTGGTTATATTTCGTTTATTAATACAACATATAGAAAATTTGAAAAGTGACTGTTACGAGGATTTTACCTTTCAGTAATCTGTTTCTTTTGCTCATTTCCCCCATTTTAGAACCCTTCAGCCATTCTTTGAAGGATTATTACCCCGAGATAATCCAAGAAACACTCGATTTGCCATCAACTTCTTTACCTCTATAGGTCTTGGAGGTTTAACGTAAGGATTATTTTCAGAATTTCATTTTCATGTTACAAAATTATTTCTCGATTGCCTTTGAAGCAGAATCTTACAAATTATATTTTTAATTAGGGATGAATTGCGTGAGCATCTCAAAAATACACCGAAGGTCATTGTCGCACAGAAACCAGAAGTTGAACAAAAGAAATCCTCGCCATCCTCCTCTTCAGCATCCTCTTCTTCAGAGTCTGACTCCTCTGACTCTGATTCCGACAGTAGTGATAGCAGTTCAGAGTCATCCAGGGAGGACAGCGATTCTTCCTCTAGCAGCAGTCATACCTCTGTCTCAGGTACTGGTGCTCATTTCTAATTTATCTTGCGCTTTTCTAATAAATATATTGGAGGTGATATTTATTATGGGGGAAGAAAATAATTGTATTGGTAATTTATCTAATTTATTTTAGAGTTCAGTTATTGAAAAAGCCATAATTAAGAATTTAATGATCATGTATCACTGTTGCAGTTTGTAGCATATTACGTTTATAATGCTGAGATTATTTTTTTGAATCTTTATAGAAGGGAAGATGCTTGGCAAGTATTGCAAATACTTATTTGAACAATGACTGAAATAACATTCATAATGTCTATAATCTTGCTTATAGGACCTATCCTGATGCTATTATTTTAAAGAAAAAAAAAATTTTTTTAAGAGAGGTTTTTGCTATAGGGTACATGTGCTTTCCAGAAAGACAGAAACAGAAAACGATAAATCGCCTACGGCGGGGGGATAGCCACACTGTAATCCCTTCTCCATTCTCCTCTCAGGATCTTGGGCACGCACGCACATGCACCTGGCATGAGTTAAAGCCACCCAGTCCAGGACTTGAACTGCAGTCAACTATATGAGAGTCCAGTAATGTAAACATTACACCATCTGCTGGTCCCAAGAAATTCTTAAATGTTAGTTTTCACTTCCCATAGTAAAGCTTTATGTTAGTAATTAACATCTATTGAATGTTTTCATGAAGAGACCATCCGTATAGCTAGCACACAGATCAAGAATTCCCAGCAGCCCAAAAGTTCTCCTTGTTTTCTTTCAGTTAGTTTTCCCCTCTCATCCCCGTGGCAGCTGCTATTCTGATTTATAAATTCATAGATTAGTTTTGCCTGTTTTTAACTTCAGAATTACACATTATAAACTCCTTTTGGGACCCACAGTTGGCGTGGCATAATGGCTATGTTGCTGAACTCCCATGTAGTTGACCACAGTTCGAGTCCTGGACCCGGTGACTTAAACTCACGCTGGGCGCATGCGTGTGTGTGCCCAAGATCCTGAGAGGAGAATAGAGGAGAAGGAATTGTGACATGGCCATTCTCCCTGGGGGGTGATTTCTTGCTTTCTGTCTGTCTTTCTTGGTCTTTCTGGTGAGCGCACATGCCCTATAGCAAAAACCTCTCAAAAAAAAAAACTCCTTTATGCCTGGTCTATCTTTCAGCATTGCATTTGTGCAAGTTGTTCATGTTATTGCATTTGGTTCTAGCTTGTTTATTCATTCTAAATGTTATATTATTTTCTACTCTATGAATATTCCACAAAATGTTTATTCTTTTTGCTCAGTGGACAGTTAGATTTACAGAGTTCCCATGGATACCCTTATTTATATCTTGTGATGACTACACACACACACGCACACACACACACACACACATATTTACAGCCTTCTGTTGGTTTTGTGTATATACAGGGGAAACCGATGTGTTGTAGGATGCACGTATATTTAGCTTTAGTAAATACTTACAGTTTTCCAAGTAGTTATCCTGTTAGTTTTCCAAGTAGTTATCCTGCTTGCACTCCCAACAGCCACATGTGAGAGTTCTAGATTTTATCCTAACTCTTCAAGGTAACCGTTTTTTCTTTTTAGCCATTCTAGTGGGTGGGTAATGATACTTGGTTGCATTTTCTTGATCACTAATGAAGTTGAACATCATTATATATTATTGATCATTTTGAGATATATATATATATATATTAATGTGACTATTCAAATCTTTTGCCCCATTTTTAAAAAATTAAGTTGTCTTTCTGTTGATATATAAGAATTTCTTATATATTTTAGATTTGTGTCTTTGATGTATTTATGTCAAATAAATTGGTCATGAGGAAAATCATGATGTATTTTTCTGTATTTTTCTATGGAAAAATGCTTCAAGACTTTTCTGATGACCCAGTATATGTGTGTGTGTATACATGTATCTGTCCAGTGTATTTTGATGTGTTTATTTTTAAAAAGTCTTTAAGAAACTTCTTCTGTTCCTAATTTATAGGAATCAAGTTTCTATAATTTATTTATTACAAATAACCAGCCCCATTCTTGTCTGTCTAGACTTACAAGGCATCCAGAGCTCTGTTATCGTTCTGTCCCTCGGCAGTAGTCTTGAGTCAGCAAGTGCTCCCTGGGTAAAAGTAGCTTTAGAAAGTCAGTTTATTTCTCTGTGCTTCTGCCTTCTCCTGAATCTTGGCACTTCTTCTTATAGTTTTTTTACTGCCTTTCACATAGCTTTTTTTTTTTTTTTTAACTTTTTATTTTAGACTACAGGAAAGATACAAAAACAGCACAGAGCATTCACATGTACCTCTCTTCCAGATTCTCCTAATGTTACCAACTTACATAACCATAGTTCAGTGATCAAAACCAGGGAATTAACTTTGGAACATTATGAACTAAACTATAGATCTTTTTTGAATTTCACCAGTTTTTCTTCTGTTGTCCTTTTTCCTTATTTAGGGGTTCTGCTTCTGTTTAATTATGTTCTCTATCTTCTGCAACATGTGATAAGTCCTCTCACACTGTGCTCATTCTTAATTGACTTGACTGGTCACTTATTTTGTAGCCTGTCCCTGAGTGTGGAGATTTGCCTGGTGTTTTCTCATAATTAGAATGAGTTCAGGTATTTTTGACAAGACTACCTTAGAAATGATGTTCTCCTTAGTGTTCTTAGTGTTTCCTTTTTTTTTTTTTTTTTTTTTTTTGCTAAGACACATACACTTGCCAAAGAGAGACAGGAAGAGGGAGAAGAAAACACCTCCCGCCTCATGAGGAATGGTCATGCCACAGTCCCTCTCCACCTATCTCTCCCTCGTTTTGGGATTTTGGACATGCTTGCACACGTGTCCTGAGTTGTTTTCCAAGTCACTGGGTACAGTACTTGAACCACGTAGTCAGCTTCTTGGGATCCAGCTGCCTTAACCTCCAGGCCACATAGCCAGCCCATTCTTTTATTTTTTCCTTTTTCTTGAGAGGTTTTGCTATAGGGCACGTGTGTTCACCAGAGAGACAGAGAGAGACAGAGAGACCAAAAGCAAGAAATCACCCCCCAGGGGGGATGGCCACACTGCAATCCCTTCTCCTCCATTCTCCTCTCTGATCTTGGGCACGCACGCACACATGCCCGGCATGAGTTTAAGCCACTGGGTCCGGGACTCGAACCATGGTCGACTACATGGAAATCCAATGACATAGCCATTATGCTAACTGCTGATCCCCAGCCAGCCCATTCTTATCAAGTGGTTCATTATATTACTTTTTACATTTGGTTACATTATACTGGTTACTTTGTTAAAGTGCTGACTGCCAGATGTGTCTTCACAGAAACTTTTTCTATGTAAAATGAGTATCTTTTGGTGAAATAGTTTGATACAGTGCAAATCTCTTCCTCCTCTAGGTTTCATTTCCTAATTGTGAATATTCATCTTTGGATCTTGTCTGTAATACTGCCTATTACTGTGGTGATTGCCTGATAGTTCTGTTGCTGTCTTCTTCTGCATCTACTAGTTGAATTTCTTCTATAAGAAAAAGTTGTCTCTCTTCTCCCATGTATTTATTTGTCTATATATTATATCATTGTGGACCTTTTAAATCTTACTCTGTGGGTTAAAGGCCAGTACTATTATTTTTTGTTCAACTAATATCAACTTTGGAAATCAGGAGTTCCTTCAGCATGACTCTTGTGTTCTTTAAAATGTCTCCATCCTATGTTTTAGCATTTTCTTCTATTATAGCATCATAATTTCCAGATCTCTAGGGTCTTTAAATGAAGAAGATTTTAATTTTATCTGGCATTTCTAGTTGTTTTCAGCAG